CCTGGCGGGGGCGGGGGGTGGTCGGGCGGGGCCAAGACGAAGATAGATCCGTTCCAGCGCGTTCCAGAACACTCTCAGAGCGTTCCGGAACGCTCTGAGGAGACCGCGGCGCCCGAGACATCCTCCAGAGCCGCCGGGTCTAAGAGATTCTCGATTTGTCCCCACCCGATGTTATCCTCGTCCTGGTTTCGTCTTAGGTGGTAAGTGCGCTAATAGGACGATCTGCGATCCTGCGCGCCTAACTGGACGGACGTCGCACAGAGGAGGGACCAGTGGAAAGCTCACGAGTCTCCAGCGCCCTGGTCGTCCACATCCACAGCGCACAGAGCGAAATCCATGAGGGCCAGTCATGCGCCTTCATGGGTCGTATGATTTGACGCGCCTCGGCGCCCGTTCCCTCTCTCCGGGAAGGAGCGCACTGCGCAAGGGGGACCCGCAGCCCGCAACAGTAACCCGTTAGGTGGGTTGTGCTGTCCTCAAAGGAGACGTGCGCGAACTTTCCGGGTCGCCTGGGCGGGTGGCGGTGCCCTGAGACCTTGGCGTTGCAATTTGTTCACAAGCCTCCCGTCCTCCTCCTCCTCCTCCTCCCTCCTCCTCCTCCCTCCTCCCTCCTCCCTCCTCCCTCCTCCTCCTCCCTTCTCCTCCTCCTCCTCCTCCTCATCCTTCCTCCCTCCTCCATCATCCTTCCTCCCTCCCTCCTCCTCCCTCCTCCTCTCCCTCCTTTCTACTCCCTCCCTCCCTCCTCCCCTCTCCTCCTCCCTGCTGCCTTCCTCCCTCCTCCCTTTTATCCTCTCCTCCTCCTCCTCCCGGCTCCTCCTCCTTATCATCCTCCCTCCTCCATCCTCCCTCCTCCCTCCTCCCTACTCCCTCCTCTCTCCTCCTCCTTCTCCTCCTCCTTCCTCATCCTGCCTCCTCCTCCTCCACTCCCTCCTACTCCTCCTTATATCCTCCTAACTCCTCCTCCCTCCCTCCCCTCCCTCCCTCGGCTCCCTTCTTCCTACCCTCCCTCCCATCCATCCTCCCTCCCTCCCTCCTCCTCCTCCTCCTCCTCCGCCTCCTCATCCTCCTCCTCCTCCTCCTCCTCCTCCGCCTCCGCCTCCTCCTTCGCCTCCTCCTCCTTCTGCTCCACCTACTCCTTCCTGATCCTCCTTCCCTCCGTCTCCCTCGCCTCATCTCGGGCGTGTGGTAACGGGGGGGGACTTGCATAGGGGGTGGAGAGAAAGGCCCCATATGGAGCCCTTTGGGGCCCCTTTTGGAGCCAGCCCTTCATGGCCCTCTTCTTCAACGCCAATTCAGGCCACCCCCCATTACAGCCGGAGCAAGGATAAAAGAACACCCTCCAAGAGCAGGATAGCCTCCGCCGGCCAAACCGACGAGCCCTCGAGGGTACCCGCCCCCAGGATGCACAAGAACACCCAACGGGACACGAAGAACCTCCCCGAACGGACCTCGGTCTTACCACCTCGGACCGACCGTGCCATCCGCCCGGCCATCCGCATCGTCCTATGCCTATTATGCTTCGTCGTCCTCATCCTTTCCTCCTGCTCCGCTCGTCCGCCCGCCCTCCTCCCCCGCGCCCCGCGCCGCGAGCAGCAGGCGAGCGGCACTGCTGCAGCGCATAGGCGGACGACCCTCCAGCGACCGACACGTCCACTCGCCATCGCTCGGACGTCCACTCCCCGTGCATCTATTTCGGCTCTGTGCGCCGATCCTGCCCCTCCCACCCATCTCTTCCCATGGAGCTGATGTTTGAGGGAGCGCGATCCATCGCCGCCGCCCTGAAAAGTACAAAGTCAAGGGGGGCCTGAGAAACCGAAAACCCCCCCTGAAACAAATGCGAAGGAGGGGCTTCAGAAACGGGGGGAACCCCCCCAAGCACCCTCTTAAAAGAAGCGGGAGGCCCGAACTCCCCCCACGGCGCCTCCAGGCGCCGTCGCAGTCGCAGTCGTCTTCGTCGTCGCCGCCGCCGCCGCCATCGTCGTCATCGTCGTCGTCGAGCCACGGGCCAGAGCTGAATCCTACTCACCACGGGCCAGAGCCAGACCCCAATTAGGTCACGTCCGCCACCGCCACCGTCGTCGCCGCCGCCGTCGCAGTCGTCGACGTCGTCGTCGTCGTCGCCGCCGCCGCCGCCGTCGCCGCCATCGTCGTCGTGGTCGCCGTCGTGGTCGCCGTCGTGGTCGCCGTCGCCGTCGTCGTCGTGGTCGCCGTCGTCGTCGTCGTCGACGTCGTCGTCGTCGTCGTCGTCGTCGTCGTCGTCGTCGTCGTCGTCGTCGTCGTCGTCGTTGTCGTCGTGGTCGCCGTCGCCGTCGCCTTGCGGAGGGGAGGGGGGTCCAGATCCCCACCCCCACACACGTTTTGGGGATGGGGTGGGGGTTGGTTTTGAGGCCCCCCCCGTCCCAGCAGCGTCGGAAAGCGTGACTGCTGATGTCTTCTCTATCCGCCGACGGGCGCCGAGGAGGACCTGGAATTCTCAGAGAGGACCCCCATGCGCAACCGGAGAAAAGGAAGGGGAGCTGCGTACACTGGAGGAGGAGGAGGTGGCGGATGGGCAAGAGGAAGAGAGGCAGGAAGAAGGATGACGAGGACGAACCGCAGCAGCAGTAGCCGGAGCGGACGGAGCGGGAGGAGCAGGAGGACCAGGGAAGGCGGAGGAGGGGAGATGCCACTTCTGTTCCCCCCCCCCCTCCTGTGCCCTCCTCTTGCTCCCCTCCCTCCTGGGGGGAGCGATGGGGGTGGGGGAGGTGGTGGTGGTGGTGGGGTATGTCTTTGGGCTCCTCCTCCTCCTCGTCTTCGAGGACGGGGCTCCTCCTTCTCCTCCTCCTCCTCCTCCTCCTCCCTTTCCCTCCTCCTCCTCCTCCTCCTCCTCCTCCTCCTCCTCCTCCTCCTCGAGGACGGGAAGCGCGAGGCCCGCGCCGGGGCGAGGCCGCCCCTCCGACTGGCGGGGGCGAAGCGCTGGCCCTCTGAGAGGAGGCGGCCCACGCTGCAGCGGGAGCACCACCTCGCCATCGCTCGGACGTCCATGCCCTGTGATTTTTCCCGGCTTCGTGCGTGGCCTTTTCGCCAAGAGATCCAGGATGCTCCTGAATAATCCCCAACGGGACAAAAAATAACACACGTCCGAGCGATGCCAAGCCACTCTCAAACGCCGAGGGCTTGCCGAGGACAAGAAGCACGAACTCCCGCGTAAAAAAACGACGAAGCAGCAAAGAGGAAAACAAAAAAAACATCCCGCGGAATCCCGCGACAAATCCCGCGAACAAACATGCGGACACGAGATCCCGCGAAATCCCGCGAACAAGCACACACACACGACATAAAACAAAACACACCAAAACAAAACATAAAAAGTGGCACCGTGACAAAAAAACGGAATCCCGCGAAATCCCGCGAGCACGAACTCCCGAGAAGCACGTGGGGGCCAAACGTGCGATCTCCCGCGCACAAAAAATGCGCGCAGAGAAGGGCGCGCCGCTCTCTCTAAGGCCATCTCTTCGGGGGGGGCACTGCTCCTACGTCCGATCCTTGGGGAAGCATTGAGCAGGAACGTGGAGGAAGCGGAGGAGGAGGAGGAGGAGGAGGAGGAGGAGGCGGAGGCGGAGGCGGAGGCGGAGGAGGCAGAGGAGGAGGAGGAGAGGAGGAGAAGGAGGCAGAGGAGGAGGAGGAGGAGGAGGAGGAGGAGGAGGAGGAGGGAGGAGGAGGAGGAGGAGGAGGAGGAGGAGGAGGAGGAAGAAGAGGAGGAGGAGGAGGAGGAGGAGGAGGGAGGAGGGAGGAGGGAGGAGGAGGAGGAGGGAGGAGGAGGAGGAGGAGGAGGAGGAGGAGGAGGAGGAGGACGACGACGAGACACCTGCGGGTCGCGGGGCCCATGGTTGCCACGGAGGAAGGGTCGAGCGGGGACCGGCCGCCACGACGTGTCCTCAGAAGCCCCGAATGTTCTAAGAGCAAAATAGGGAGCCCACAAAGAGCGTACGCGCCCAGCTATGTACATGAACACGGCCCCTCGATCCGCGAGACCGGCCGCGCTATACGAACATTTGCGCAATGCGTACTCTCGAAACCAGCGTGGATTCATGTACGTGTACGTCCTTCTTTCGCTCCTGAGCAAAAGTAAGGTTAGGACGCAACTACTGGGCCACGACGTGTCCTTAGAAGCCCCGAATGTTCTAAGAGCAAGACCAATTTTAGGAGGCATCTAATTACTGGGAGGTTTTCGTCGGAAAGGTTAGGAGGATTAAGCCCCATTTGGGAGCTGTTACGCCGGAGTGGCCCTCGGACTGAGCATCAGTAAGCCGGATTCAGCGAGATCAAGCGGGATTAAGCCGGATTACGCAAGCGGGATTAAGCTGGATCAAGCCGGATTTCGGACCAGGGCAACATCAGAATGTGACCTCGCAGGAGTTGCATCCGAAGCAATGTTCTTAGAACGTAAGTCCGACGTGCTAAAACAAGACAGTGTCGGCCAGGCATGTTCTAAGAACATGTAGTGCAGGCCACAAGAGGTTCTTAGAACATTCTTTGGTGGGCCTGTAGGCAAGCCGGGACGCTTCGCCACTGCTTGAGCGCATTTTCTGTTTCCGCCACCTTCCGCTGAGCTTCCGCTGGCCTCCGCCCCGGCCGGGGCGGCCTCGCTTTCCTTCCGCCGCCCTTCCGCTGAGGAAGAGGTGGAAGGCACGGCCTCTGCTGGAGCGCCCCGTCTCGTCTCGCTGTGGGGACGGAGGAGGAGGAGGAGGAGGAGGAGGAGGAGGAGGAGGAGGAGGAGGAGGGGAGGGGGGAGGGAGGAGGAGGAGAGGCGGAGGAGGAGGAGGAGGAGGAGGAGGAGGAGGAGGAGGAGGAGGAGGAGGGAGGAGGAGGAGGAGGAGGTGGAGGAGGAGGAGGAGGAGGAGGAGGAGGATGGGGAGGGCGGCCCTCGAGAAGACCCCAGGGGCGACGCAGGAGCACCTCTGGGCGCCGGGGGGGGGGGGGCGCCCGGAGCTGGCCCCGCCGGGGAGAGCGGCGGCCCCCGCCTGCGCCAGCCGCCGCACGTCGTCGAAGTAGCCGAAGCTCATGATGTCCTTGACTACCTACCAGACCACCCCAACCCAACCCGAAGACCCGAATTTGACCCGAATTTCGGGTTGGGGGGGGTACGGGTTCCATATGTTTTTTCAACGTTCCCCGACCCCCCCCCACTGGAAATGGAGGGCAAATTGAGGCCTTCGGGTTGGGTTGGGGTGGTCTGGTAGGTGGTGAGTCCTGCGCGTAGAGGGACACGACCTCGGCTCAGAGGAGGCCAGGAGAAGGATACGTCGGGCGTGGCCGTCCATCGCTCGGACGTCCATGCCCTGTGCTTTTGTGTGGTTTTTCGTGCGTGGCTTTTTCGCCAAATGATCAAGGATGCTCCTCGATGGTCCTCGATGGTCCTCGATGCTTCTCGATGGTCCTGCGCGTAGAGGGACACGACCTCGGCTCAGAGGGGGCCAGCCCTGACTCCGGATCCGCCCTACTGTGAGGAAGTTCGTAAGTAGGGCTTGGAATGCCCGCCCTACGTTTCAGGCCCCGCTGATGCGAATTTCCGCCCTACTGTTCTGTTGCTGTTTCCGCCCTGCTTCTGTGGATTTCCGCCCTATTTTATGTTGGGTGCAGAAATTTCCGCCCTACTTTTTCGGCTTCTTATAAGTGGATTTCCGAAGCAATTTTAGGTTGGGAAAAAAGCCAAAGTAGGGCGGATTTGGAGTCAGGGAGGAGAAGGATACGTCGGGGCTCTCTGAGACACGGTGGCTCTGGAAGCTGTTTAATTACCAGGCGCCTCGGCCTTCTCAGAGCGTTCCGGCTCGCTCTGGGAGCGTCCCAGGACGCTCTGAAATCGTTCTGGAACGCTCTGGAACGACTTACCTGACGAGCGAACAACACCCACGCAAACCCATACCCATAGGGGGACGGAGGGGGCTGTGGGTGCGTGTTGTGAGATGGTGTCCCCCTTCGAACGGGAGCCTCCCCCGCGGTTTGACAACCCGGACCAATCAATACCCATAGCCAGTCCTCCCCCCTCCGATCCCCCTATGTGTATGGGTGTGTGCTGTTCCCCGAGATCCGACGTAGCGAAAAAAAAAAGCAACATCGAATAACATCACGCCCGGAGCTCTGGACCCCATCCTGCTGCGCCATCTTCCGAGCCCGATCGATGCGTGAGGGCCCCCGGGGCCCGAACAAAAGAAAGACAGCGAAAGCGCCCGGCTCGTAAACGTTGCGGCGCCAGGATCCCAGGGGATGGACAGGAGGAGGAGGAGGAGGAAGGAAGGAAGGAGGAGGAGGAAGGGGAGGGAGGAGGAACATTGCGGCGCCGGGATCTCGAGGTTCGCTCGTCCTCGTCCCCGCTCTGGGCCTCTCGCCCGCTCGCCGCGCGGCGCCGCGGCTCGCCGCGCGAGAGAGCCCGCGGCCGGGGGCGGGGTCCCGGGCGGAGGGGCTGCCGGTGCGGGCAGGCGGGGCGGCCTGGAGCCCCGCGCGGCGCGGGGCAGCAAAAACACAGCACGACGGAAGGCTGCTCCCTCCAGTCGTCTCGAGCGCGAAAGATACCCGTACCCTTACCCAGACGGGGTGGCAAGGGGCCCTCGGGGCATCACCCCCCCTGTGTCCGGGTCGGCTCCCGAAACCACCATACATACCCGTACCTAGACGGGGTGACCCAACCACCACCCCAGCTAGGTCCGGGTATGTATGGTTGTTTCGGGCACCGACCCGTACCCAGACGAGGTGGCGGCAAGGCCGAAAACGCTCTAGCGGGCGGCCCTTTTCACCCCAGCTGACTCCGGGTCCGGGTATGTTTTGGGGTAATGAAGTCGGGGCGTTGACCGAAGGAGCCCTAAAAGCAAGGAGCCAGGCCCCTGTTTCCCAGAAGCGACGTTTCGATTTCCCATGGGAAACCTGAGGAGCACCCGGGGCAAACGGTGAAACAATCAAGGAACACCGAGCCCCTCCCCAACGAAAAGGGTTATCTTCAGCGCCCCGACTATATTTTTCGGTCGGGCACGTGTCCCTACAGGCGGACTGTGGGCGAGAATTCAGACATAGGCAAACAATACCCCCAAATGGCCACACAAAATAAAGAAAGATCGTCCCCATACTGTTCTTCTCTTACAATTTGCGAATCTTTCTCCTGTAGAGGGGCGTGCCCGACTGAACACTGTTCTCGGCCTCTGGGCCCAGACCCCCTCGGGCAACGAACAAAATCATGGCGGGAGGTTCTTCGCCACCTTCGATCTCGGGAGGCCCTTACCCGCCCTCGGACTCGGACTCGGACTCGGACCTGCGAAGTGCACGCCGGCGGGGGCGCTGCAGGCGGGCGCCATGGCGCCATGATGTGAAAAGTGCGCGGCGGCAATCTCTCTGCGCGATGCAGTTGGGGAGGGAAAAGGACGCACGAAGGGAGAGAGGCACGCACGACAAGCGAGGACGAGAGGCGAGGCCGAGGGAGGGAGGGAAGGAGGGTTACTGCCAAACATGACTCAGGATGAACAGTCGGTCCCAGGGATTAGGGGTCCAGACCGCTCTGAGTCCACGTCCTGAACAAAATCACGACTTCGGTGGTCTGGGGGGGGTCCTCTTGGTGGCCCCCAAACCAGGTGGTGATACACCCAGTGGTGACCTGAAATCCCAAAAACGTAATTTCTAGGTTTGGGGACACAGGGTCACCACCGGGTTTCGTGATTCCCGGGACCACCCGCGCTCGAGACATCCTCGAAACACCGCCCGAGTTCCAAATCCCAGTGGTGACACCAATTCGCCCCAGACTCACCACCGGGTGTTCTCACCACCACGTTTGGGGACCCCCGATCCTCGCCAAGCCCTGGGACCGTCAGAAGACGATCCGGGACGAAAGACACGTCCGCGGGAAGGGGTCGAGACCTCTAAGGGGTCGACGTGACTGATGGGGCAGGCGGTGCCGCCAACCATCCGACGGTTCTGACGCTTCCGACGTCCCTGACGCTCCTGACGCTCCTGACGCCCCAGGAGCTTCGCGACGCTCCTGACGCTCCTGACGCTCCCAGCCCCAGGAGCTTCGCGACGCTTCTGACGCTTCTGTCTGACGTTTCTGACGCTCTGGAGCTTCAGGAGCTCCAGAAACGTCAGAAGCTTCAGGAGCTTCATAAGCTTCAGGAGCTTCAGGGGGCTCAGAAGATTCGGGAGCTTCGGGAGCCTCAGGAGCTCCAGGAGCTTCAGAAGCTGCAGGAGCTTCGGGAGCTTCAGGGGCCTCAAAAGCTTCAGGAGCTTCAGGAGCTTCGAGGGTTCGCGTGGTGTCGGGGCCCCGGGCGACCCCGACACCACGCGGGAGGCCCCAGGAAACACCTGCGCCATGCGGGAGACCCCCAACACCACGCGGGAGGCCCCGGCAACGGAGGCTTCGGGTGGGCGCCGGGGCCCCAGGATCCCGACGCCGCGCGGGAGGCCCCGACGGCGCGCGGGGGGGTCTGGGGGAGACCCTGACACACCTCGCGGGAAGCCCCGACACCGCGCGAAAACGGAGGCTTCGCGTGGTGTCGGGGCCCAGGGGGGACCCAGGGAGACCCCGACATCACGAGGGAGGCCCTGACACCACGCGGGAGCCCCCGACACCGCGCGGGAGTGGAGGGTCTGCGTGGCGTCGGGGCCCTAGGAGGCCCCGACACCACGCGGGAGGCCCCGACACAGTGCCAGAATGAAGGGATCGCGTGGTGTCGACGTCTCCCTGGGCCCCGACACCACGCGGGAGACCCCGACACCACGCGGGAGGCCCGACACCACGCGGAAGCAGTGGGTTCGCGTGGCGTCAGGGCTCCAGGACGCTCCGACACCGCGCTGGAATGGATGGATCGCGTGGTGTCAGGGCCCGGAGAAGCCTCGACACCATGCGGGAAGCCCCGACACTGCGCGGGAGGCCTCGACACCAAGCGAAAACGGAGGGTTTGCATGGTGCCGGGGCCGTGGGAGACCCTGACACCTCGCGGGCTCGCGGGAGGCCTCGACACCAAGCGAAAGCGGAGGGTTCGCGTGGTGTCGGGGCCCCGGGAAACCCTCGACACCACGCGGGAGGCCCCAGGCCACGCCAAAACAGGGACTTCGCCCAACGCTCCCTGCATACCAGGCCATGCTAATGGCGATGCTGGCGATCGGCTATCAGGTCCCCGTCTGCGATGATTGGGCGATTGTGGGTCGATGCATCCCTCCCTGAGCCTACCCCCGCCCCTGGTGGGTTTTCGATCCACAACTCGGGCATCGGGCGGCAGTTCGGGACGATCCGCACACCCCCGGACGCGTCTCGGCGAAGCGCAGTCGCAGGAGCGCACCCAGAGGCTGCCGCCGTGAATCGACTAAGACGCCCGAAAACCGAGGCTCCGTTAATGAGGGTGCTGGTCAACGGTGATGTTGGGAATCTGTTTTTTGCGACGCCAAACTCGCGCGCACTCGTGCAGAACAAAATGCAGTAAAGTACGACCCACCAACTCAAGCACGCGAATATCGAGCAAAAACGACACGGCGAATTACAGGAAAACGCGAACCACGCTTTCCTAAAACTGGTATGGCCACCAAGCAACCCCACATACAATACCGAAACCTACATCGCCAGTAGCGTGTCTACGGTAAGTGGTTGCGCGGTTATCGTCCCCACACCAAAAAACATGACTGCACATGTTGAACACGACTTGCCAACTGCCTATCCTAATCTGAGTGACGATCAGAAGCGGGTCTTGCGCGAGATGGTATGGCGACCTTACGCCGCAGCTTAGATGGGCCGCCAGCGCGGCACGCACGTCGGAAGCGAAGGGGTTTGCGCGCGACCTTGCGAAGGCAGCTTTGCGCCATTGTCGGGTCAGGAGACCCTCTTGTTCCGCATCGGCCTCTACTCTGGACGGGGTACTTGTCAAGGCGAGGGTGATTGATCTTCCGACGGAGGTCGCCCATACCCCCTCGCTCCTCCTCCTCCTCCACCTCCTCCTCCTCCTCCTCGTCCTCCTCCTCTTCCTCCTCCCTCTCCTCCTCCCCCTTCCCCCTTGATCTCCTCCCCCCTCTCCTCCTCTTCTTCCTCCTCCTCTTCTTCCTCCTCCTCCTCCTCCTCCTCCAGCACGGCCCCCCCCCACAGATCCAAAGGGGTAACGATTATTACCCCATCCATAGTAATCAACAACACGTGACTGCCCATGTTGGACATGCTCTGCCAACTCTCTGCCACCATCTGATCCAGTATGAGCCACGCCTACGTCGCAGAGCGGAGGCGGGGTGGGAAGGGGCGTGCCATTCATTGACAACGCTAGCCAGCGTGGAACCTAATAGTGATATCTTGCAGTCTATGCGGTGCACATGAGGTGGCGCAATCAACGTGGTGCAATCTAGGTGCTGCTGCGCATGTGGTGCAATCCGCTGCTAAGCAGTACGAAGCAATTCAGGTCATCACAAAACAACGCAGACCAATTCCAACCAATGCAAAGCAACGCAAAGCAATGCAAAGTGCGAGCCTCGCACAATCAAAATCGTGGCCAAAATGGTGCGGCGACGGGCGGCAGCGATGGGCGGCCACTAGCCGGCCAGACCAGCGCAGAGTCCCAGTTGCGAGCCTCGCACAATCAAAGTTGTGACCGAAATGGTGCGGCGACAGGCGGCTGCAAGGCGGCGGAATCAGCAGCCAGCCGCAGCCCCTTGTGAAACGCATAGCAATCCCTCAGTGCAAGCACCGTCTAAGGAAAAACCCTTGCCTCAATGTGTGGCCGACGCGATCGCCGTGGCGAAATCCCAAACCGACCGAGGTTTTGCATCGGGATTTGATATCACGCAACAACTACGAGCCTGGCGACTTGTCGCCAGTCGACTGGTGGGGATCTCGCTGGGTAGATCAAGGCAAACACCGACGAATCGAAGTACCTCCAAGAAAATCCTGGCTAACCTGGATCGATCCGGAGATCTTTATAAATATGGGGAACAAATCGTGGCCGCTCCGGCGTGAGCCGAGGGGCGGCAGACATCGTGAGTATAACACTTGATGGAACGCTACCGGCCGGGCGGCCCTGCAGAGGCAAGTGCCCAGGTCCTCCGCGCGTCGTAAAGAAGGAAGCATTACAGACGCTGTCTTGTTGTTGCTGTTGCTGCAATTTTCGGCCTCAGGGGTTCCTCACCAGGCCACGGGACCGTCAAAAGACGACTCAGGACGACGAGCCCGCCCTGGGAAGTGGGTCGAGACCTCCGCGGGTCCACGCTGTGGAACAAAATCATGACGTCGGGGGTCTGGACTTGCGGATGGGAGCTCCCCGTCGCGTCTCAGAAGCCGCGCTGGCGCGCGGGCACTTCAGCGCGGGTCGGTGACTCGGGCGGGCGCGGTGTCAGGATGACGCCGACACAAGGCGGCAGCGATGGTGATAGCAACGGTGGTGGCGTCGGTGACAACAATTCCTTGTGACGGTGGGACGCGTCAAAAACGAATATGCACGGCGCAAGGGCAGGGGAGCCCAGAATCGAATCGATAAGTCGGATCGGCGATCGACATGGATCGGATCGGCGAAAACCGGCAGCCAGATCGGGAGGAGTCGAGTCGGCGGGAATCGGGCAAGCTAGTGCCGCTGGGACATCGGAATCCAAATCGGAATCCCAAGCCGAATCGGAACCAGAACCCTTCGGATCGAATCGAATCGGTGACATCGGAATGACGAGCACTGTAGGGCGGGAGCTGCGATTTGACAACGCACGGCCAATCCATCCCTGTAGCTGCCGGGTGCTCTTGAACCTCAGAGGAGGTCCGGCTCCGCCGAGGCGCAGGGCACGACCTCCCGCGCCAGTCCCTGTCGTCTCGCCATCGCTCGGACGTCCATTCCCCGCGCATCTGTTGGATTCGCGCGTGCACTTTTGACTACCTACCAAGCCACCCCGACCCAACCCGAAGACCCGAATTTCGGGTTGGGGGGGGGGGTACGGGCTTCAGGTGCGTTTTCTCAACGTTCCCCGACCCCCCCCCAACTGGAAATGGAGGGCAAATTGGGGCCTTCGGGTTGGATTGGGGTGGTTTGGTGGGCGGTGAACTTTTCGTGAGATGCTCCAAGAGGCTCCCCGATGGCCCCCCTGCCGAGACAAAGGCACACGCGCGAACGATGCCACGTCGCATGGACCTCTGACCGCCAGCTTCCACCCGGTGCGCGCGCGTCCTCCCTCCCCCCCGAGCGGCTGCCCCCGTGGCGTGCCGCTTCTTACCAGCCTGGAACATATCCCTATCCCTATGCTGGGCATCTCCTCATCACGATGCCAGTCTTAGGGATGCCCTTATCTTTTGAGGGCGAACCCCTAAGATTGTCATCGCCTGTTGGCGTGTCAATCTTAGGGATAGGGATAAGTTTGAGGCTGGTAAGCTTCCAGGAGGCCGGTTGCCTGAGCGGTCGTGCGCGCCCCCTTCGCTGTGCGCAGGCTGTGAACGGGCGCGCCAGAACAGCAGCAGCAGCAGCGGCAGCGGCGGCAGCAGCAGCAGCAGAGCGGGTGCCACGCAGCAGCAGCAGAAGCAGCGAGCTGAGCAGCAGAAGCAGCAGATGCGGCAAGCAACAGCCGAGCGGGAGCTGCGACAGCGGGAGCAACAGCGGCACATCGAGTGCGTGCCACTGAGTGGAGCAGCAGCAGCAGCCATATCTCGGACTGGCTGGGAGGTGGGTCAAGCACGCAACAAGCGCCAAGAAAGAAGCCGTGACACGCTGGGTTAGCCAAACGTGGACCAGCATCCCCAATACTCCTTTCCTGTCGGCCGATGCCTTCTCTTCTTCATGGGCAACATTATCTGGACACACTTCAGGATGTCGATTTGGACGTCGCTCTCTGGCGGGCTGTTTTGGGCTTCCCTCCCCATCCCATTCCCTCAACCTTCCGCCCATTCCCAAAAGCTATGGGCGCGGCGTTCAGGAAATTGGCCTCTGTGTACCACTTGCAGACCTTCAACATTTTGTCGGCGCGATGCGTGTGCGTGCCCTGCCTGCCCGGCTTCCCTCCCAAACAAGCAGCACGATCTTGCCATCCAGCCGACATGAGCCGCCACGTTCTGGGAACCCGAATCACCAGCCGAACAAACCTTGGAACACGAACGCTCTCACAGAAAAAATGCGCGCCGACCTAGCGCACTGATCGCATTGAGGCCAACGCACTCGATCACCGCTATGTACCAGTCGGTCGCATCTACGACTTCAATCAGGACCCAACCATCGTTCATTACTTGTGCGCGTACGGCTGAAACTAAGTATACCAACATGCCTGGCTGCCTGCCCAATTGTCAATATGCCTGCCCACATCCTCCCAACATCCTCATCCTAGATGAGCGTCCATTTGAACATGCGTCGCTCTCGTTCTATATTCCGCTCTCTTTCTATGCATATGTCAGAGTGAGGGGGCTGAGCCGAACGGTCATTCACTGTCCCTAGGTGCGTGGCTGAAGTGGAATTCCGCGACGGTTGTTGCTGTTGAGCTCTCACTTCTGAAAAATAATTATTGTTGATCCCCCCCGTCCGGTGCACATTCTTCTTTGGTTCGATTGAAGTGCCCTTCCCGGGGCTTGCACCCTGTTTGTTTGTCAGGGAAAATCTTGAAGGTCAAACTGTGTCGTTGGCCCCTGGTTTACAACAACAGCGGTTCCCGCCTGATGCTTCCTCGCAGTTGACTGAAAAATTGCGCTCTCGCTTGGGACTTCCTTGCAATTTACCACCGGACCGCGGCTCCTGCTTGATACTTCCTTACAAGTTATTGAAGAATCGCGCTCTCGCTTAGGACGTCCTCGCAAGTTACCACCGAATCGCGGCTCCCGCTTGATACTTCCTCACGATTTATTCAGGTGCCGCTCCTCGACACTCAGGAATCGCGCTCCCGTTACATATTCCCTGGCGGTTCAAGCAGAATTTACGCTTCAACGACCCGCCCGCTCGACCCACCCGTCTGGGACTGCCCGCCCGACCAGCCCGTTAGGGACTGCAGTCGCCGCTCGCTGCCCTTCGCTCGCCTTCGACGCCACTCGCTGACCGTCCTGGTTCCGCGGTCGCCTTCGTTCGCTGCCCTTCGTGGCCCCGTTGCTGCCCTCAGTGGCCCCGTCGCTGCCCATTGTGGCCCCGCTCGTATCCGCCTGCCCCCACTTTTCAATGTTCTTTCCCCGTCTTCTCGGCTCTTTCCCTTTATGTTCATTTTCATGTCGTTCGTACTCCATTGTGCTTTTCCTCAGTTCTTCGTATTCCGCCCACTCCTCCCCAGGCCACCCCGTCCCACCCCAACAATCTCCACCCTTTCCCGCTCGCATCCCGCATTGCTCCCAAATTATTCCCAGTCCCTCCTCCAGACTCCTCCGTGCGCTCCCCGCTCTTTCGCACTCCTCCCGGTTCCTCTTCTCCTGAAGCCCTACTCTTGTCCACTCCATTCCAATCCACTCCACATCCAACCGCGCCTCTCGACACGGTTGCACTTCTCACTATCATTCCGCCCCACTCTCCCAACATCCCGCCTCTTTTCAGGGTTCCACGAAATTTGTTTCTGACACCAGTTCGCAGCTGTACGTCCCCCGCGGGGGTATCCACGATCTGTTCTTTCAAGGGGGTGGTACGTGGCGCTGTTTATGGCGCGACCCATGGCGAAACTTATTGTTAACCTGTATTAGAGTGGCTGGCGCGAGCCATGGCGCAAGCTGAATCGCCACCCACCGCGCAAATCATCGTCCTCCGATCCCTTCGTCCTCATTCTCCCCCGTTATCTGTTACCCTTCGTTTTCAAAGGCCTTCACCAACCACGCGTGGCAGGGAATGAATCTACCCCCCAAAAGGGGGTACGATCGAAGACGAAGAGGGCGGGTATCCAGGGCTTTGGATATGCATATTGAATGACACGCGATCAGAGAAGAGCGAACAATATTAAACTAATTGTTGTTGTTGTTGCTGCTGTTTGTTGTCGTCGTCCCACCCGCGACCCGCCCACCCGCGACCCACCCGCGACCCACCCCGCGACACACCTGCGACCCACCCCGCGACCCACCCGCGACCCGAAAACATGGTTGCAAAGGCTTTTCCTGCTCTAGACGGCTCCAAGACTGCCCAAGATGGTCTCCAAGATGCATCCAAGACGGCCAAGATGGCTTCCAAGACGGCTCAGATGGCTCCCATATGCCTCCAAGACGAGCCAAGATGCACTCAACACGGCCTAAGATAGCCTCAACATGGCCCCCGACGGCCCGAGAGGCCTCCAAGACGGCCCAAGAGGCCTCCAAGAGGTCCTCCAGGAAGGCCCGAAGAGTCCAAACTCATTGATTTTCCTACAGGGCAGTTTGTTTTATACACCGCATGTTTAAACATATATGAGTTTTAATGCATGGTTACTTTATGTATAAGTGTATGCATGAACTCATCGTTGCTTGTACTACTAAATCCCTGCATGTTTAATACATGATCCGCACGCGGAGCATGTAGTAAAAACGGCACTGTAGGGTGTTTGAAGGATTTTGGCATTTGCGCCTTTTCGGTTTTCCGACGGCCCCAGACGGCCCAAGAGGCTCCCAAGATCGCCCCAAGATCGCCCAAGAGGCCTCCAAGAGGGCCCCATGACGGCCCAAGTGGACTCCAAGACTGCCCCAAGACGGCCCAAGAGGCCTCCAACACGCCCAAGATGGCCTCCAAGACGCCCAAGATGGCCTCCAAGACGGCCCCGAAGCGCCCCAAGAGGGCCCCAAATCGGCTCAGAAAGGCCCCAAGGCGGCTCAGACGGCGTCAGACGTGCCAGGAACCCACCAAGATGGCCGAAATTGGCTCGAAGCTGGCCCAAGACGGCCCAAGAGGCCCCCAAGAGGGCCTCCAGGAAGGCCAGAAGAGGCCAAAAACATTGATGCTCCTATGTTTTTAACGGATGTCGAAACTTCCGTCTTTTCGGCCTTCCGACGGCCCAAGACGGCCCAAGAGCTCCCAAAGATCGCCGACAGATCGCCCAAGAGGCCTCCAAGATGGCCCCAGAACGGCCCAAGAGGGCCCCAAGACGGCCCCAAGAGGCCCCCAAGACGGCACAGGAGGCCTTGAAGACGCCCAAGATGGCCTCCAAGACGGCCCTGGAGCATTCCAAGAGGGCCCCAAGTCGGCCCATAGAGGCCCCCCAAACGCCCCCTTTTGATTTATTAAAGGGGTGCCCGGCGTGCCAGATTATATGGCTTTTGGTTCTGGCTCTTTTTCCAAAAGAACTCCCCCTGGGGCTTCGGCCCGTCCCGCCGGGGTCCCGGGAGATTCTTGAAAATCCGTCCGTCAATGCCTTTGTTGCCCCATGTTGATCCCAAGATGGTCAAGATGGCCCAGGATGGCCTCAAAGATACCTCCAAGACAGCCAAGATGGACTCAAAGACGGCTAAGATGGCTCCAAGATGCACCCAAGGCGGCCCAAGAGGCCCCCCAGAGGCCTCCAAGACGGCCCAAGAGGCCTCCAAGACATCCTCCAGGAGGGCCCGAAGAGGCCCAAATCATTGATTTTCAGTGTTTTTTTGAAGGATTTCGGAATTTGCTTCTTCTCAGCATTCCGACGGCCCGAGACGGCCCAAGAGGCCCCCAAGATCGCACAAGAGGCCCCCAAGAGGGCCCCATGACGGCCCAAGTGGCCTCCAAGACTGCCCCAAGACGGCCCAAGAGGCCTCCAACACGCCCATGATGGCCTCCAAGACGCCCAAGATGGCCTCCAAGACGGCCCCGAAGCGCCCCAAGAGGGCTCCAAGTCGGCCCAGAAAGGCCCCCAAGACGGCTCCCGACGGCGTCAGACGTGCCAGGAACCCACCAAGATGGCCGAAGTTGGCTCGAAGCTGGCCCAAGACGGCCCAAGAGGCCCCCAAGAGGGCCTCCAGGAAGGCCAGAAGAGGCCAAAAACATTGATGCTCCTATGTTTTTAACGGATGTCGAAACTTCCGTCTTTTCGGCCTTCCGACGGCCCAAGACGGCCCAAGAGCTCCCAAAGATCGCCGACAGATCGCCCAAGAGGCCTCCAAGATGGCCCCAGAACGGCCCAAGAGGGCCCCAAGACGGCCCCAAGAGGCCCCCAAGACGGCACAGGAGGCCTTGAAGACGCCCAAGATGGCCTCCAAGACGGCCCTGGAGCATTCCAAGAGGGCCCCAAGTCGGCCCATAGAGGCCCCCCCAAACGGCTTCCGACGGCGTCAGACGGACCAGGAGCCCACCACGACGGCCGAACATGGCCCTAAGATGGCCCAAGACAGCCCAAGAGGCCTCCAAGAGGGCCTCCAGGAAGGGCGAAAAGGCCCAAATCATTGATTTCCCATGGGTTTTTGAAGGATTGTGGCATTTGCGTTTTTCTGCCTTCCGACGGCCCGAGACGGCCCGAGTGCCCCCAAAGATCGCCCAACAGGCCCAAGACACGGCCCCAAGAGGCCCCCAAGACGGCCAAGATGACCTTCAAGATGCCCACGTGCTCCCCGAAGGCTTTCCAAACCGATTCTGGGAACAAATGGTCCGATAGCTTGGTAGGTCTGGCCTCAACGTTCGGCCACATAGGCGCTTCCAAAAAGGCAGGGGGCAGCGGTGATTCGCCGTAGGCGTCTTTGATCCGCCGCCCCCTTTTGATGTATTAAAGGGGTGCCTGGCGTGCCAGATTATGTGGCTTTTGGTTCTGGCTCTTTTTCCAAAAGAACTCCCTCTGGGGCTTCGGCCCGTCCCGCCGGGGTCCCGGGAGATTCTTGAAAATCCGTCCGTCAATGCCTTTGTTGCCCCAAGTTGGCCCAAGATGGTCCCAAGATGGCCCAGGATGGCCTTCAAGATGCCTCCAAGACAGCCAAGATGGACTCAAAGACGGCTAAGATGGCTCCAAGATGCACCCAAGGCGGCCCAAGAGGCCCCCCAGAGGCCTCCAAGACGGCCCAAGAGGCCTCCAAGACATCCTCCAGGAGGGCCCGAAGAGGCCCAAATCATTGATTTTCAGTGTTTTTTTGAAGGATTTCGGAATTTGCTTCTTCTCAGCATTCCGACGGCCCGAGACGGCCCAAGAGGCCCCCAAGATCGCCAAAGAGGCCCCCAAGAGGGCCCCATGACGGCCCAAGTGGCCTCCAAGACTGCCCCAAGACGGCCCAAGAGGCCTCCAACACGCCCAAGATGGCCTCCAAGACGCCCAAGATGGCCTCCAGAACGGCCCCGAAGCGCCCCAAGAGGGCTCCAAGTCGGCTCAGAAAGGCCCCCAAGACGGCTCCCGACGGCGTCAGACGTGCCAGGAACCCACCAAGATGGCCGAAGTTGGCTCGAAGCTGGCCCAAGACGGCCCAAGAGGCCCCCAAGAGGGCCTCCAGGAAGGCCAGAAGAGGCCAAAAACATTGATGTTCCTAATGCTTTTGACGGATTTTGCAACTTCCGTCTTTTCGGCCTTCCGACGGCCCAAGACGGCCCAAGAGCCCCCAAAGATCGCCGAAAGATCGCCCAAGAGGCCTCCAAGATGGCCCCAGAACGGCCCAAGAGGCCCCCCAAGACGGCCCCAAGAGGCCCCCAAGACGGCACAGGAGGCCTTGACGACGCCCAAGATGGCCTCCACGACGGCCCTGGAGCATTCCAAGAGGGCCCCAAGTCGGCCCATAGAGGCCCCCCAAACGGCTTCCGACGGCGTCAGACGGAACAGGAGCCCACCACAAGGCCAAAATCATTGATTTCCCATGGGTTTTTGAAGGATTGTGGCATTTGCGTTTTTCTGCCTTCCGACGGCCCGAGACGGCCCAAGTAACCCCAAAGATCGCCCAAGAGACCCAAGACACGGCCCCAAGAGGCCCCCAAGACAGCCCAAAAAATCTCCAAGACGCTCAAAATGACCTCCAAGACAGCCCAAGAGTCCTCCAAGACGTCCTCCAAAAAGGCCCGAAAGTGTCAAAATGGCCTCCAGACGGCCAAGATGACCTTCAAGATGCCCACGTGTTCCCCGAAGGCTTTCCAAACCAATTCGGGGAACACATGGTCCGATAGCTTGGCAGGTCTGGCCTCAACGTTCGGCCACATAGGCGCTTCCAAAAAGGCAGGGGGCAGCGGTGATTCGCCGTAGGAGTCTTCGATATTGTTGTTCTTTCTCTCTCTCTCTCTGTCAGCTTCTCTCTCTCTCTCTTTCTCTCTTTTCGTTTTTTTGTTTTTGTCTCTCTCTCTCTCTCTTATTCTTTCCATCTCTCGGTCTCAATGCAGATCCCTGCCGACCTCCCTTTCCGCCCGACCAGGGGGTGGGAAGCAAGTGACTTGAAGTGGAGCGAGCGCGGTGGTGGAGGGGATGGACCATACCATCCAATCCCCGCGTTCACTCCCTTCCCCCCGTTCATTGGCCATCCAGCTTCGCAAGACCGCTCGAGTGACCTCGAACTCATACTTCTCACGTGACATCTGCACTGCCGGTGCATGTCCAGGTCCACTTGTCAATGGCGATGATCGTTCGCTGGGCGCAAACCCTCCCGCTCTCCCCACCCTCTCTAAAACAGGGCTAGGATCGGGATAAATCGCTCCAGAGCGTTCTGGAGCGCTCTCAGAGCGTTCCGGAACGCTCTGGAGCGGCCGCGGCGCCCAATACATCCTCCAAGCCCGCCGATTCTCAGAGATTTCAAGTTATCCCGACCCGATTTTGTCCCGATCGTCGCGTCGTTTGACTCTCCCCGACGGCACCCCTCGATTCTTCGCTCCGCCCCGGCGCCGGCCGGCCTGTCGTTGGCCTGGATGCCCCGGATCTCCGTCGGCTCGGGGGCGCCGTGGCCGGCGGGGATGAACGGCTGCTCGCCGTCGCTGCCCCAGCCTCTGCTGGGACAGGGCCAAAGCGCGAAACACGATCCGTCAGAAAATACACCCTGCGAAATGCTTAAGAAATCATGGGTTAAGAAATTCATAGTCTCAGAAATTGAATAAAACCCAGAACTTCTATCAACATCTTGGGATTTACATTGAAAAGTTAAGAATAATCGAGACTCTGGACGAAAACTTAGGTTTTCTTAAGCATCGCCTAAGGTGTAATAGTAAGAGCATGCCCTCCCACTCGCTCTGCGCGCTCACCCTCCAAGTGCCTGCGCCGCCGCCGCCGCCAGACACGCGGCCCTGACTCCGGATCCGCCCTACTTTGGGGAACTTCGTAAGCAGGGCTCGGAATGTCCGCCCTACTTTTCAAGCCCCGCTGATGCCAATTTCCGCCGTACTGTTCTGCTGCTGTTTCCGCCCTGCTGCTGTGGACTTCCGCCCCACCTTATATGTTGGGTGCAGCAATCTCCGCCCTGCTTTTTCGGCCTCTGATGCGCGGATTTCCGACGCAATTGCAAGTTGGAGAAAAAAGCCAAAGTAGGGCGGATCCAGAGTCGGGGTGTCCTTGGAAGAGGTCTGGGCACCCTGGGCCCCGCCTTGAGGTAGTGGTCCCAGCCGGCCCCCTCTGGCAGCCCGCCCTTGGAGGAGGAGGAGGAGGAGGAGGAAGGAGGAGGAGGAGGAGGAGGAGGAAGGAGGAGGAGGAGGAGGAGGGAGGGAGGAGGGGAGGAGGGAGGAGGGGAGGGGGGGGGAAGGGGGAGGAGGAGGAGGAGGGGGAGGAGGAGGAGGAGGAGGAGGAGGAGGAGGAGGAGGAGGAGGAGGAGGAGGAGGAGGAGGAGGAAGAGGAGGGAGGAGGAGGGGGAGGAGGAGGAGTCGCGGGGGCCGCAAGAGGCAGGGCCCGCGGAGCCACCTGCAGGGGCAGGCCGAGGCGCCCAGAGCGAGGCCGCCGCCGCCCGAGCGCACCCGCGGCGGCCGCGCCCCGCGCCGGGTGGCGGCACGGCAGGGGCCCTCCGCACCATCGGCGCCCACGGCGCGGGAGAGCAGGGGCCCCCCAGACCTCCTCGCGTCCTGAAAAAATCACGACGGGAGGTTTTTCGCCATTTTCGGCCTCCGGGGGCCCTTCCCGGGCCTCGGGACCGTCAAAAAACGACTCAGGACGAAAAACCGGTCCTGGGGAAGGGGTCGAGAACTCTGGAGTCGACGTAATGAAAAAATCATTACGTCGGGGGTCTGGGCCAGAGGGGCGCAGCGGCCTGCCCTTCCTCCCCCCAGGAGGGCGACCCCCCCTCCCCTGCGGTGGCCAACGTGAGGTCGGGCGTGACCCCCATACAGGCGGCTTCTGGGAAGAAAACCAGACATGCTCCCCGAATGCCCCGAAAATAGTTCAAACACGTGCCAAACAAATCGTTCCCTGACTACTTTTTTTACTGTTTTCGAAGATTCCTCCTGTAGAGGGACCGGCCCGACGAAAGGCCAGCGGGTGGTCGCGGCCTCTGGGGCCCATTGCCTTCTGTCCGCTCTCTGGCCCTCCCCCGCCCGCTCCCCTCGTCCTTCCACAGCCACACAGCGTGAGTACAGTACAGTGCCGTTTTTAACACATGGGATTTTTTAATATATGGGATGTTCAATCCATGATCAATGTATGAGAACATGTATGCATGAACCCATCGTTGTTTTTATTACTAGATCCCTGCATGTTGAATACATGATCCGCACGCGGAACATGTATAAAAAAGGCACTGTACGACTCTCCTCTTTGCCCTGCTACTATCCGGTTGTTCTCCTGACTCGGCCGCGCATGGTCTCGCCCACAGCATCTCAACAGGCGTTACTTGTTTTAACATGGCTTTGTTCCAACGGCACGGTCTCGCTGTCCGCTCCTGTCGCAGCCGCCGGCCGACTCCCTCGCGCCGCCCCGCGAAACCCCACTCGCGCGCGTTCCAGCACGCATCTCATTTTTTCTGGGGAGGTACATCCTTGAGCTTGCTCAGGATTCCTCAAGCACTGCTCTGGCTTGGCACACCGCCAGATGTGGTGCACCCTTCGGGGTAACAGTTGAGATGCCTGCACATTACTGGTTGCGTCTACTGCATCGGGCGCCTGACTGCACCGCGCGGCAGGGCGGCGCGAAGCGACGTCGCGCTGCGACCCTGGGCTGCGCCAAAGCTGACAGCACCCGAAAGCAGAGGAACCGCACAAGCAGCACACGCATAGATTGTCGGAGGCCCGCGCGGCCTCCTGGCATCGGCGATGGGCTCCCTGGCGGTGCCTCGGGCGCCGCCCCTGGCGCGCTGCGCGCGCTAGGGAGGGGGTCCAGCGCCGATATGGAGGAGGAGGAGGAGGAGGAGGAGGAGGAGGAGGAGGAGGAGGAGGAGGAGGAGGAGAAGGAGGGAGGACAAGGAGGAGGAGGATGAGGAGGAGGAGGAGGAGGAAAAGGAGGAGGAGGAGGAGGAGGAGAAAACAGGAGGAGGAGGAGGAGGAGGCCGCGCGCCTGAGTCGGTCCACTTGCGGAGGCCGTACTTCTCGAAGAGAGCGGGGCCCCACAGGCCGCGGCACTCCACCTTTGGCGGGCGGGGGCCGGACGTCTCGAGCTGTAGGACAGGACTGCTCCTCCTCCTCCTCCCCCTCCTCCTCCTCCCTCCCTCCTCCTCCTCCTCCTCCTCCTCCTCCTCTCCTCCTCCTACCTCCTCCTCCTCCTCCTCCTCCTCCTCTCCTCCTCCTCCTCCTCCTCCTCCTCCTCCTCCTCCCCTCCTTCTGCTGCTTCTGCTTCTCATCCTCCTGATTCCTTACGCACGATTCTGGATTCCCTTCTCACCCTCCTGATTTATCATCATGCGTATGCTTATCACCTTCCTATCTTCCTGAATCCACTATCATCTCCCTGATTCCTGCTTCTGTGTATAATCCTCCCGGTTCCTTCTGCTGCTTCTGTTTCTCATCCTCCTGATTCCTTTCTCATCTTCCTGATTCCTAACGCTCCTCCTCCATAGCCTTTCCCTGTGAACAACCCCTCCCTGTCGCACCCCGGAGCCAGTCGGAGGGGCGGGCACGGCGTTCCGCCCGAGACTTCCTCACTGCTTCTGCTCCCGAAGATTTAAACAAAAAACAACTGATTCACACATCGGGGGCGGGCGGTCTTCAAATCGTTGTGTTCGCCTTATCGCCGCGCACCTTCGTCTCAAACATTGCGCGAGTTTCAAGGGTTGAGAGCGGGCGGTTTTCAACATGTGGCTCCCACATTGGCGCCGCGCACCTTTGTCTTAATAACTTGCAGAACTTTCACGGATTGAGAGCGGCTCCTGTTCAAAATGTGGCTCTCGCCTGAACGCCCCGCACATTCGTCTTAAACAGATGCACGAGTATTACGGATTCTCATGGCTAACGTGCTATGAAGTTGTGTTTTGGACAGAGTCAGGATTCTCAGGGCGCAACAATTACTTTTATTCGCGGCGTTCAGATCCCTAGAATAACGTCCTGGTGCGATTCAGAATCGTCAAGACGCACGGTCAGCTTAATTCGTGGCGTTGAGATCTCGGTGTTTTGGCACGCTTCAGGATTTTCAAATGGTTGTCTCCGAACGGGGCACGTCTCTCAGTGGAAATGGGTCCTTGTACGGGCCTATGAAGAGGGAGCTTGGAGGGTGGATGTTTTCCAACATCGTTGATGAATATTGGGTTTGCACTGGTTCTCCTCCTCCTCCTCTCCTTCCTTCATCCTCATTCTCCGTCCACATTTTCTTTCTGCTCCCCCTCCGCCTGATTGTCGTCCTGAAGATGCCTGGCCATGTTTGATGGTTGAGTGCCCACTCTGCCGTATCCAGCCGAGGAAGTGGTGCAACATGAAGTGAAACAAACATTGCTATATATTTGTGGGAATGCTGTACAGCTGGCAACTGCCTTGGACTCTATACCAATGCAACAATGAATAGAGAGGGGCGCGAACATTTGCCCTTCAGCGACGAAACGACTGTAGACTGAAACACGCGTGCTGCTGACCTTGCGCGAATCCTGGTGACCTCCACCTCCGCCTCCTCGTTTCCCTGTACCCGCACTGCCATTGTCAGGAAAACGTTGGGTACGGTATGGTTTCGTACTGCTTCGCCTGTGCTCATTTGCGGCAACCCGTTCAAATTTTGAAATACACGAGCTGCCGCGACGTCATTTGGCGGGTTCCGGAAACCCTGAACCCAGAACAATTGCCATCTCTCGGGGGCGCATGCTTTGCTTACGCCGGCTTCTGTCGGCCTTCCGCCAGCATCCGCCAGCGGAGCCGCCCTCGTCTTACCGCTGCCAGCTTGCGCCGACCGTCCGCCGCCTTCCGCCGAGGAAGACAGCCCAACAGCTTCGATCCTCGAAGGCGTGGCCCTTTTCTGGAACGCCTCCTTTGAAGACCTCCCGAACTCCCCGGTGAAGTGCTCACGGCCTCGCTCCAAACACTCGTGCGACCACTGCTGGCTGATCGTGGCGATCGCTGCCGTGCTACGCGCTCCGACGAGGGCTCTAAGAGGGCCTGACATGAATCATCGGGACAGAGGGCCTGCTGGATCCCGATGATCCGTGCTCCATCGGAGAAATCGGGAATGAACCGTACACGCAGACCCGTCTTGAAGTACAGTCAGACTTGATTGGATAGGACACCCGAGAGGACACAAGCCTCTTCCGACGGCTCCGTGGCCCCAGAACGCCAGAGGACATGCGGGTTGCATAAGTAGGGATGGAGGATGGACAGATCACAAGTGTACCCTCGATTTGGCATGGTCGACCTATCGATCAGGGCCGACTGCAAAATATGTCTGGATGCATGGTTCATGCTCCTGAGCCGCGCAGCGCGGCCTCAATACGCATTGACCTGCTGGAGGAGGACACTCAGGCGTCGTTCCAACTCGAGCTGTCGCGCTGATCCGCTGCTTGGAAAGCATCTGCCCTTCCAAGACCACCCTGCCAGATGGAGCATTACACAGTGTGCCCATCCCCTGAAGTTCCGCATCCTACTGCAAAAACGTCGCTGGCATGAAAGCGATAACGCCAACTCGAATTTGTTTTGCTGGAGGAGAACAAGGAATAGGAAGGGGACGACCGACACGCATCATAGGTACACCCGTGCACTCCGTGGCAAAAAGCAGCAAAGCTTGAAATTATCAGGCTGCGTTTCAGAAACATCCCAATCTGGCTCGAAAGAAGCAGGAGGAGGTGGGTCGCAGCTGCGAAGCAACACGAGAAGACGTTTGGGGTAAAAGCGCAAACATTGAGTCAACGGTGAACCTGTTCGAATTCCTCCTTCCGCTCCTCAACCCCAACCACACACTTACAGCGCGGAGGCGGAACTGAGCAGTGGCCTAAGTGGTGCAAGTTTTGCCTGCGCGTTGACGCTCAGCAACATAGTTCGGAAAGCTCGTGCCACATTCGTCAAACTGGCGATGAGGGGAACGGGCCGAACGCACAAAAGGCCACTGGCCCAACAAAACAAGCGGTCGGCTCAGAAAGTCGTTGGCACCAGGCAGCGCGGGACCCCCCCCGCACCACACCCTGACACCCGCCGACCTGGTTTTTCCGATGCGCGGTTCCATGGAGGCCCGACCCCTTCCCCCAGGGGGGATCGTTTTTGGCCTCGGATGCGCCTTCTTGTGGCCCCGGGGGCCGAAAACGGCCTCCGGAGGGCTGACATCTGGGAACAACGCTGGGATGGAACGGATCATTATGATCCGTTTCTGTGGAAGATGTTATCTTCCACAGAAACAACAAGGAACAACATATCGGTACATTCGCTGCCCCTATCCCAGACGCGAGATATACGGACCAGCGAGCACAAGGACACACGTGAGTGGGTATGTCGCCGCGCCGATTGTTCTGAACGCGCCCACGTGGATGTAGCCTTAGGTCGGGCATGTCCTCCTACAGGCGGATTCTGGAAGAGAACATGACAAGCAGTCGAAACATATTCTTACATAGTCTGAAAAAAATTCTAAAAATCGTACCCAGAGGACTTTTTTACTATTTTTGAATTGTCCTCCTGTAGAGGGACACGCCCGACGTAATTGAACGCGCCCAGGTGGATGTAGCCGACACCACGACGCCGCGCCCCGCGCCCAAGCAGACGCAGCCGGCACCGCGGCAAGCCCCACGGCAAGCCTACCGCGTCCGAGGCGGCGTTTGCCCTGGCGCCCGCGGAGTCCCCCTGAGACCCTGGCGTTGCAATTTTCAGACAACAGGCGCTTTCGCTCCATTTCGGGCCCAGGGACCCCCACGGATCGATCCGGCCCGAAAAATGGCGCAGAAAGATATGGTCCGGGGCTCCGGGCGGGATGCAGGATTACGATGTTGCAACTTTTTCGCTACGTCGGATCTCAGCGTCCTCCCCAAGGCGTAAGGACGCGCGTCGGAACAAACGGCGCGGCGACACGTACAGAGCAGTGGGGATTGCCACGGAAGTTTTCCCAGCGCGCTTCCCAGACCCCCGACGTCGTGATTTTTTCACGACGATCCCCCAGAGGTCCGGACCCCTTCCCCAGGACCAGTTTTTCGTTCTGACTCGTTTTTTGACGGCCCCGAGGCCCGGTGAGGGCCCCCAGAGGCCGAAAACAGCGAAAACCCTCCCGTCGTGATTTTTTCACAACGCGAGAATGTCTGGGTTCCGGGATTTAACAGACCACGTCCTTGGAAGAAGTCTGGGCACCCTGCGCCCCGCCTTGAGGTAGTGGTCCCAACCGGCCCCCTCTGGCAGCCCGCAGGTGTCGCTCTGCCGCCTCCAGTGGCCGTCGGCGGAGCGCGCCTCGGGACGTAGCGCAGCTGCAGCAGACACACACACACACAGGAGGAGGAGGAGGGGGAGGAGGAGGAGGAGGAGGAGGAGGAGGAGGAGGAGGAGGAGGAGGAGGAGGAGGAGGAGGAGAGGAGGAGGAGGAGGAGGAGGGAGGGAGAAGGAGGAGGAGGAGGAGGAGGAGGGGGAGGAGGAGGAGGAGGAGGAGGAGAGGGGGGAGGAAACCCATCCCTGATACCCCAAGACGTCCATCGATTTTTCGTGTGGGAACGTCACGCCGTCCATCGCAAAACCATCGAACCCCAAGAAACCCAGGGCACCCTGGAGGCAAGCAGGGTGTTTCTTGGCATGGGCCCCCACTGTACGATCAGAAATGTTGCAAGAAGAAATCTGGGGGCACACTCGTGGCCCCGCGGGGTCGCCCCCTGAGGTCCCTGGAGGCCACAAGGTGGTGCCCCCTCCCGGTCGACGAGACGGGGTGGGGTAAGGGGAGGGCGTGGAGGTGCTGGGAAGGCGGACCCCCCTCCCCCTTCCCCCCCCTTCCCCCCTCCCTCCCCCCTCCCCCTCCCCTCCCCTCCCCTCCCCTCCCGTCCCCTCCCCTCCCCCCCTCCACGAGTACGCAACGCTCGACATGGACACTGCTCTCCCCCCCCATCCCCGGAGATGGCCGGGGAGCAGCGCGCCCCCTCCGCGCACTGTTTTCTCCGCACGCGCTCACGCGAGCTGGTGTTTGTGTCCGTCGGGACATCTTCGGCAGGGCTGGACCCAAACTGCGTTACAGTTTTTCGTTCTTCCTCGTCTTGCCTCCGCTTCGCCCTGAGTGCAACACAACACGAACACCAAAACGGCCCACGAGATGGCCAAAACACCGTTTGGGTCTGGCCCTGATCTTCGGTGTCTCAGAATGGTGCTGCCGCTGCAGTGTTGGCCTCATGTCAGGATCGGTGCTGTGCTCCTGTTGTTGAGAGTGGCGCTCACGCCCCACCGCGGGCAACGTTTGTGGATCCGAGTCTCCGAATCCTTTCTCATCGTTGTCGCCCCCATCCTTGACCCTCCTCCAACTTACCCTGGTCCTCCTGCTCCTCCCGCTCACTCCTATTTCAATTCCCGCTGCTGCTGTTAGTCCTCGTCCTCCCCGCCTCATCCTCCTCGTCCTCCGTCTCCTCCTCCTCCTCCTCCTTTTCCTCTCTCATCCTCCTGGTGCTCCTGCTCATCCTCCTGTCCATCCGTCACGTCTTCATCCTCCTCCCCTTCCTACGCACGCAGCTCCCATTGTCCGACTTTGCATTGCAAGATGGGATCTCTTTGGGAGTTCCAGGTCCGCTATGACACGCGTCCGCGGATAGAAAATAACTCAGCGCAATGCGAGGAGTGGGTGGGGTGGGATGTCAGATGTGGCTCGAGCTGGCTTGTCCTCCTCCTCCTCCTCCTCCTCCTCCTGACCCATGCTCGCCTACGCTTCTCGGGCGGACGCTGACATGGATTACGGATCCGTGGACCCGGCGCGCGGGCGCCAGATTCACGGATCAGGTAAGGAATCGAACTCTATACACCGACGCTTCTTCCGGCCATGCATTGGAGCTTGCACCGGAGAGGGGATCCTGGTGTACACGGGACCCTGGTGTACACATGTCTCGCTGTCTTCCCGGGACATCGGGGAACAAAAAGTATACACCACACCACCCCAGCGTCGTCCTCGGCCCTCCAGAAGTCCTGGGACTGAAAGAAGCAGCCCGCCGCTGGCAGTGTGCGTGCTCCCAGTCTCCGCTCAGGGAAGGCACCCCGGACGCACGAGGCCGGTGCCGCCTGATCCGGCGACGGAGCGCGGGACCCGTCGCTCATCCGCGCGCCCGCGCTCGTGCTCGCGCTTCTTCGATCTTCTCCTCCTGCTGCCTCCCTTGTCCTCCTCCTCGCCCATCTCCCCTCCCAGAGCGGAGGATGATGAGCGCACACGCGCAGCAGATGTGGACAGAAAACACGCTGGACAAAACACGCACAGGTGTGGAAGAATACACACACACACACACACCTTGCGTGCGTGCTTTTTATCCACCATGTGCTGTTTTCCACAGACAGTGTGCTTCTTCCACAGACAGCGTTTTTGTTCCACAGTGCGTATAATGTGTGTTTTTCAACCATGTTTTTTCCACCGTGCTTTTTTCCCACACTGTGTGTGTGTCCGTTTTTTTTTCCCCTGAACACCGGAACGCACAATGATTTCTCGGATCGGCGCTGAGCGCGCCAGGGGCGGCACCCGCCAGGGGGCCCGGCGGGCGCAAGCCCACAGAATCGCGGCCGCACCGCCCACTCGGGAACCGAACAAAGGGCCGTTCGTGAAGTCGTCGTCAACATCATCCATATCATCATCCATGTCATCATCCATGTCATCATCCACATCATCATCCACATCATCATCGTAATCATCATCATCATCATCATCATCATCGTCATCGTCATCGTCATCGTCATCGTCATCGTCGTCGTCATCATCATCATCATCATCATCATCATCATCATGATGATCATCATCATCATCATCATCATCATCATCGTCATCGTCATCGTCATCGTCATCATCATCATCATCAGCCTCATCATCATCATCATCGGCATCGGCATCGTCATCGTAATCATCATCAGCATCAGCATCATCATCAGCATCATCATCATCGACATCGTCATCGTCATCGCCATCATCATCATCCTCATCAGCATTATCATCGTCATCGTCATCATCATCAGCAGCATCAGCATCAGTATCAGCATCAGCATCAGCATCATCATCATCATCAGCATCAGTAGTATCATCATCATCATCATCATCATCGTCATCATCATCATCGCCATCGTCATCATCGTCATCATCAGTGTCATCATCATCATCACCATCAACATCATCATCATCGTCATCATCGCCATCGTCATCGACATCATCACCATCATCATCATCATCAGTATCATCACCATCGTCATCGTCATCATCAGCATCAGCATCATAATCAGCATTATCATCAGCATCATCATCATCATCGTCAGCATCATTAGTCATCGTCATCGTCATCATCATCATCATCATCATCATCATCATCATCATCATCATCATCATCATCATCATCATCATCATCATCATCATCGTCATCAACATCGGCGTCGGCGTCTGCGTCGCCGTCGTCGGCGGCATCTTCATCGTCGTTGTCGACGTCGTCGACGTCGTCGTCGAAGCGACTTGGCAGGGTGGGGTTGCTGCCAGCCTCCGTGGCGGGCCCGCTGCAGCACTCTGTGGGCCCGAACTTGGAGGCAGCCAGGGAGTCTGCCCGGGACAGCCATGGGGGCAGCCAGGGGGCGCCCGAACTTGGAGGCAGCCAGGGGGGTTCGAACTTGGAGGCAGCTAGAAAGCCAGCAGGGAGAAACCTGTCAGGAGGGCTGAGTAATATCTAACCAAACACGCCCGAAATCGGTCCCCAGATCCCACCCCAAACGTGATCGCGTCGTGAAACAATTATCCAGTGCGACCCTACCCAGGAGTTGGAGCATCTAGAAAAGCAACATCTACATCTACACCGACAGCTACATTAACATCTACACCTGCATCTACATCTACATCAACATCAACAGCGAGACTCACATCTACATATACATCCACACCTACATCTACACCTACAGCTACATCTACATCTACACCAACATCCACATCTGCACCTACACCTACATCTACACTTTCGCAGTGGTATTGCTTTTGCTGTGCATGCTATGCTATGTTATGCTATGCTATGCTATGCTATGCTATGATTGGCTATGCTATGCTGTGCTATGCTGTGTTAATGCTGCGCTGCGCTATGCTGCGCTGCGCTAAGCTAAGCTAAGGAAAGCTAAGCTATGCTTCGCAATGCTATGATATGTTATGCTATGCTGCGCTATGCTATGCTATGGTATGCTATGCTGCGCTCTGCTATGCTATGCCAGGCTATGCTATGATATGCTATGCTGCGCTATGCTATGCTATGCTACGCTATGCTATGCTGCGCTATGCTATGCTATGCTATGATGTGATATGCTATGTTATGCTATGCTGCGCTGTGCTATGCTAAGCAATGCTATGCCATGCTATGCTATGCTATGCTGCGCCATGCTAATTATGCTATGCTATGATATGCTATGATATGCGATGCTGAGCTATGATGAGCTATGCTTAGCTATGCTATGCTATGCTATGCTATGTTATGCTATGCTGTGTTAATGCTGCGCTGCGCTATGCTGCGCTGCGCTAAGCTAAGGTAAGGTAAGCTATACGAAGCCAAGCTAAGCTAGGCTAAGCCAAGCTAAGCTAAGCCAAGCTAAGCTAAGCCTAGCTAAGCTAAGCTAAGCTAAGCTAAGCTAAGCTGGGCTTGGCAAAGCGGGGGATCCCGGGGGAACCGCGGGGCGGATGCCGGGGGAACCGCCTGGGGCGTAGTCCACTCCCCGGCCCCTTAAGCTTATACGGTAAGAACCCTTCTAGGCAAAGCCTAGGTAGGGAACCAGGACGGAACCTTTTGGCCGTTTTCGGTCTCGGTGGGCCCTCGCCGGGCCTCGGAACCGTGACGAAAAGCCCGTCCCGGGGAAAGGGTCGGGACTTCAGGGGCGCCGCATCGAAAAATGCAGGGCGTCGCATGCCTGGGAACCGAGCGCGCTCGAAATCGGCCCCCGGACCCCACCTGGACTCCGCGTGGTGCAGTGCTTCGCCCGAGCTCCGTTCCTGACGGTGCCGGGGCCCGGACACGGCCCCCCCGGAGGCTGAGAACGTGGCACAGCCGGCCCGAGTCCAGAGCCTCGAGCCCGGGCCGCCTTCCCTGCTGGCCAGAGCCAGGTGCTGGGCCATCGCAGACCTCCCGCCGGCTGCAAGCCCGACCGTCCCTCCCTCCTTTCCCCTCCCCCCGCCTCTCCCGTGGCCTCCAGCTCCTCCCGCTCCTTCCACTCCAGTTCCCGCTGCTGCTGTTCCTCCTCGCCCTCCTCGTCCTCGTCCTCGTCCTCGTCCTCGTCCTCGTCCTCGTCCTCGTCTTCCTTGGAACCTCCCTGGGCAGACCGCCGAGGGGTCTTTCCCCAGGCCTCCGCGCTCCCATACGCCTCCACCAGGCCTCCACGACGAGCCCCCCTGCGCCCCCCGGGCCCAGGCATGCGACGCCCCGGTTTTCTCAGGGCGGCGTCCCCGGAAGTCCCGAGCCTTTCCCCAGGACCGATGTTTCATCTTGAGTCGTTTTGTTGACGGTCCCGAGGCCCGGCGAGGGTCCCCCGAGGCCCAAAACAGCCCAAAACCTGCCGTCCTGCTTTCTTTACGACGCGACCACGTCTGGGTCCCAGCGACACGGTCCCAGGCTGCCCCAAAGCCTTGCGGCCTGAGCCAGGACCGCCGCGCGCCCCCTCCACTGGCAGGGGCGGGAGCGCGCGGGCGCGGAGAGGGGGACGCGCCCGGAGGCCTGCACGTTCGCGACGATGGCCGTGACGAACTTCTCGAAACCTTGGGGGGCTCCGCTGGGGCACGCGGATGGGCGCGCCAGAGAGCGGCATGGTACGGCGGCGAGCCCGGGGGGGATCCCTGAGATCTTGGCGTTTCAATTTTTCTGAGCCAGGCGGTTTCGTCTTTTCTCAGGCCCTGGGACCCTCACAGATCGATCCGTCTCGAAAAATGATGCAGGCTGGGGTCCAGGGCTCCGGGCATGATTCTCTACGATATTTGCAAGAGGGGGCAGGCCTTCTCCCAGAAGGCGGCGGGGCTTCTCAGAAGCGCCTCCTGAGGAGCCGTGTGGCCCATCTCCGCAGCCACAGGCGACGTCTCGGAAGGCGCGAGGGCTTCTGAGAAGCCCCGCCGCCAGGCTCGCTCCCTCTCACTTCCCCCCTGGGCTTGCCGACGAATGATGAACTCAGGAAGCGGGTGACGTCGAGGAAGCTGTCAGCGCGGCGCCAGAGAGCCGAGATATTGCTTCTGCGGCGAGGGCGGCCCTGTGTCTGACCAGAGTCCGCGCCAGCCATCACCTGTCCTGGGCAGCCGTACTGTCGGCAACAGCCCTGGCCTCGGTAAAACTCGCGTGGAGGCATATTGTGGATTTGGAAGGCGGCGCAAATAGTAACCCAGAAATGCGACGTCCTGATTTTTTCAATGCGGAGTCCTTGGAAGTCCCGACCCTTTCCCCGGAACTGGTTTTTCATCCTGAATGCTTTTGACGGTCCCGAGGCCCGGCGAGGGCCCCCCGAGGCCGAAAACGGCCAAAAACCTGTCGTAGTCCTACTTTTTGTTTACGACGCGATCACGTCTAGGAACCAGTAGGGTTGAACCAAATGCTTGGCACGAGCAGGCCGGAGCAGTCGAGACCGATGAGCATGACCGAAGTCTCAAGCCTGTCCCGCCCGACCCCCGCTCTGCGCCTCCGCTGCAAACCCGTACCTTCGTCCGCCATCTGACTCTGGTGGCAATGGAGCTACAAGGAGGAGGATCATCGAGAGAGACGCAGGAGGAGGAGGAGGAGGAGGAGGAGGAGGAGGAGGAGGAGGAGGAGGAGGAGGAGGAGGAGGAGGAAG